TTTTTTTTTCGAGACAGGGTTTCTCTGTGTAGTTTTGGTGCCTGTCCTGGATCTCGCTCTGTAGACCGGTCTGGCCTCAAACTCACAGAGATCTGCCTGACTCTGCCTCCTGAGTGCTGGGATTAAAGGCATGTGCCACCACCACTGCCTGGCTCTCCTGTCTGCTTTTCATCTTGCTGTAGGAACCCCGAGAGTACAGACGCACACGACCTCACCTGGCTTTCAGTGGGCTCTGGGGATTCAAACTCAGGTGACGCAGGCATGGCAAGCATTTTACTCACCAATACTTCCTCCGCCCTAAGAAATTAATCTCATTGCATCTTCCTAAAAGGACAGCCTGTCCCACATACATACTGAATGTCTTTTTTATATTTATCTTTATTTCTAATTCTGTGCAGATGTGTGTTTCTGTGTGTGGGTGTGCAGGTGCCAAAGAGGCCAGGAGAGGGTTTGGATCCTCTGGAGCTGGAGTTATAGGAGATTGTGAGCCATCTGCTATGAGTGCCGGGACCTGAACTTGGGTCCTCGGCAAGGGTGGTATGCACTACTAATCACTGAGCCTCTCCAGCCCTAAACTTCTATCTAGTTCTCTCAAATCGTGCCAGGTCTTTTTTGTTTGTCTTGTTTTGTTTTTTAAGACAAGGTCTGGCCTAGAACAAAGTACCTGATGGAAAAAAATAAGCCAAGCTGCTTTTTTGAGGAGGCCACTCCCTCCATGTCTAAAATACTTCAATTCCCCGAGAAGATAGATACATAACGGTTTGGGTCTCAACTCTCATTCCTTTCCTCTCTGCAGAGGGACTTTCTTGTGATCCACCAACCTCTGGGCAGGTCCCACAGGGGAGTCTCTAGGGTGTAGGACAGAGAGGGCTGGGGCAGAGGGTGAACGGAACAGAGGAAAGCCAGCAAGGCCAGGCCCTCGCTGGAGCTGGCTGCTCCAATGGGTGAGTGAAGGCCAGGCTCTCGGGAGAGGCAGGTGGTGGGGCTGGTACCTGGCAGATAAATACCTCTTTCCTTTTCAAGAAATCAAAAGCTATTTTAGAGGAGGAATTCCTGTGGGGAACCACACAGGGAAGGGATTTTAAGTCTGCACAATGCACTTCTCCAAGAGGAAACGGTGGGGCCAGTTCTGGGAAAGTAACTCTACAACGGCCTCCAGCCCCACCCGGCCACTCTCTGCCCAGTGGGCACTCAGAGCCCACGCCTGTCTCTTCACCCAGGGCCTAGTAAGACAATTCCTTCTCAACCCCTTCGGTTGATAGCAGGTATCCCTAGGCATCATTTCTCAGCCCAGACATGAGGATTGTTCCTGGGATTTCCCTCCCTTCTACTGTGTGTGTGTGTGTGTGTGTGTGTGTGTGTGTGTGTGTGTGTGTGTGTGTGTGTGCAGACAGCCTTGGCTAGTGATCTTTCAGTACAACCCACCTTATTTTTTGAGACAGGGCCTTTGGTGGCCTGGAACCTGTCGAGTAGGCTAGGCTGGCTAGCCAGTGAGCCCCAGGATCTACCTGTCTCTGCCTCCCCAGCTCTGGTATTATAAGAGGGCACAGCTACCCTTGGCTTTCTTACATGGATTCCGAGGCTTGATGTCAGGTCTGAATTCTCTCCTCAGCCCCAATGCCAGATTGAGAGAAAAACAGTCCCCAAACTCACCAACGAATTCGGGTGTTCCAAAAATGTTTTTAAACTCAACTCCGTCTTCTATTTCATGAGCCAGGCCAAAGTCAATCAGCTTGATGTGTGGGATGGGGATGGTCTTGTCTAACAACATGATGTTTTCTGGCTGGAGGACAGAACAGAAAGAAGGAGAGACAGTAATTAAAGTGTGGTTCTGTACTTTCCTTCTGGGTTAGGGTGGGGTTTTGTGTGCTTTTGGATGGGGGGGGGGCTAAAACAATGAAGTTCTTGTTTTCGTGTCCTGGATCTTCTCAAACCCAGCACCAAGGGTCAAGGGCCAGCTTTTACTAACCCTGTACACACAGCAAAGCTGGAGAACTGGGCTCTAATGTCTGATCTGTCTCTGAATGGGAGATCTCTTCAGTGTGGTTCAGTGCTTCCTCGTCAGTCAGATGGGACTGAGCAGATACTTCTAGCCTCTCCGGTAGGCAAAGCCACCCTTCCCGAGTGAGTGTGAGGTGAGAGCGACACACAGGCTTCCCCCAGGTCTATGCAAGGTTTGCTGGCCTTCATCAACTCTGTAACCTCCCTATTTCCTCTGGCCAGCCAGCTTCCTGTTGACTTTCTCTGAGACTAAGCAACTTCTCTATGTGTGTTTAACTAATTTGGGCTTTTGGCAGGACACAGAAACAAAATGCACCTGACTTCCAGGGAAAATACCAGCCGCCCAAGCTATTTCCGGCCCTGAAAACAGCTGTTGGCCTGACTGACAACTCAGGCAGGCTTGGCAGTAAGAGAGAAGACACTGGCCAGACCCTCACAGCCTGTCCCTGCCGTGGCACCCCCACCCCCCACCCCCGGCCGCCACATCCATCTCTCAGCTCCCAGGGAAGCTGGGACAGGGTCCTGAAGTCCACCCTCTTCATTCCCATCCAAGCCCCCAGACTAGACAGGAAGTGGGCAGGTCTACCTGCTCAGCCATTTTTCCTCTACTCCTCCAATGACTATCTTCGATACCATTTAGATTGGACTTTCCTGAAAACTTCACCCACACAAACCTTATACACACAACATTCACTACAGCACCTCCACAAGAGCCCTAAGGTATAAAATGCCCATCAGCCGAAGAAGAGACGAAGTGTGACATACCCACGCCATATATAATATTCGCACAGGAGGACTTACTATTTTTCAGGCTGAGGACAGAATCCAGGGCTTTACACTTATGTGAGATAAGTATTCTTACCAGCCCTAAGAATACTATTTGATGATAAAAAGGAATAAAATAAAAAGATAAAAAGAAATTAAGTATTGATGAATGTTACAATGTAGATAAGTTTTGAACATGTTATACTAACCAGGTGCCAGGTTGCATGCCTGAAACCCTAGTACCTGAGATACTAAGGAGGAAGACTAAAGTGAATTTGAGATTGGCCTGGGCGACATCTTAAGTCTCTTCCAAAAAAAGAAGGGGGAGGAAGAGGAAAGGGAGAAGAAAGAGAAAGAGAACATGCTAAAAGAGAGCAATGTACACAAAAGGGCACATAACACAGGATTCTGTTTATGAGGAATACACATGGACAGAAAGTATATTGTTAACTGATTAAGACTTGGGGAATAGGGTCAGTGAGGTGCCTCACCATGTAAAGCAGTGGTTCTCAACCTTCATAAAGCTGTGACCCTTTAATACAGTTCTTCATGTTGTGGTGACCCTCAAGCATAAAAATATTTTCATTGCTACTTCATAACTATAATTTGACTGTTAGAAATGATAATGTAAATATCTGATATGTGAACCCACATGGTGAGAACCACTGATGTGAAGGAATTTGCTACAAGCCTGATGGCGTAAGTTCAATGCTTGAGACCCACATGGTGGAAAGGAGAGACCTGACTGTGGCAAGTTGACCTCTGACCTCCGTATGTGCACTGCTGCACAGGCATGTGCACAAATACACATAAAAATACAATAAAAAGAACTTTTTAAAAGACTGGGGAATATGTAGGGACTGCTAACAAATGTGTAATTCCTTTAGGGTGATAAATATATTCCAAAATTAATTCTAAAACTGCCCTGCAAATGATTGTGCTTTGGGTTATAAAATCTCTCATTTTCACACAGCAAGTGGGGGACCATGTCATATGTGGACTACAGCTCAGAAAAGCTGTTAACCAAACAAACAGATGTTAGAGAGCCCAGAAGTCACCGTTCTCAGAAGAACTGAGGAGTTCTCACCTTGCTCCTTTGCTTACAGCACTGTCTCCACCTGGAGGTCTTCTGGTCCTCCTGCTCCCAGTAAAATCCTGACTGGACTTGCTCAAACCATCTCTCCCGAGAAGACATTCCTTATGGCCCCAGGCCCTACCTGAATGTGAGCAGACCGTGGTCATCCCTAGGCCTTTGCTTGTTCAGATCTTTTAGGACATCTGGCTGCTGTCTCCAGTCCAGCAGCCCCTCCTTCCTGACTCTCTGGCAGAACTATCCCCAACTGGAGGGAGAACTCAGACCTTGCAATGCCCTCCCTCCCCAAATGCTGTGTGGATTCCTTATGGTGACACACTGCTGAGCATGATCCTAATTCTTAGCTAAATTTACATGTAATCTGGACTGGTCACCCCCTCCCCCCAACACATACACCAGGTGTCTCTGATTCCCTGAAGTCTCTGTGACCTCCTGTCACAGCAGCTAGAGACTTTGACTCAAGGGAATTGAGGCCCTCCCTCGTAATTTTTCCACTTTCTTTTTGTTTTTTTTTTTTTTTGGTCTGTTTAAATAACACGTTTCCTTTTGCATTTTTAAAGTTTGTTTATTCTTCTTCCCCTCTAGAGATTACTCTCAACTTTATTTTGAAAATGTGTCAAAGTCCTTTCCCAAGGCAGATCAGATTTTTAGTCTCTGCTGAAGGCATGTGAGGGCAGAGGAGGTCAGGAGACAAGACCCATGCCCGTGGCCCCACCCAGCACTCCGATGGCTGCCATAAGAACACTGTGTTATTCCTTGCACTGAGACTTATCTTCCCTACTAGCCACTACCTCCCTGCCAGGCAGCTTCTCCTCTATTCCACCCACATCACTGGCCACCTTGTTAGGAACTTCTCCTGGGCCTGAGACGGCTCTTGGGCTGAGAGGCCATGCCCCAGCAGAACCCAGCACAGCACCACAATGAATGCAATGGGAGCCATGAGCCACAGAAGTGGACACCCTAGACCTGGAGATCTTCAGGACGACAGAGCAGCAGAGATGAGGCAGAAAAGAATCGAGACTGAAATCTCTAGGGCTGTGCTACCCCGAGAGAAGAAGAGACAGCCCCAGGTCTTGTATCTAGTCAGATCTGTAGCTCACGATACAGAGGCAATAGTCTGTCCACTGGCTGAGAAGAACGGTGGAAGATGATATTTTCTTACCCATCTTATTTCTAGCCCTTGCCTGGAGCAGGGCTGCTTAGAGCAATTCCCCTCTCTGCCCCCTCCCCAAATCTGGCGATGTCTATTCACATTTCAGTTAAGATAGCCAGTCTCTTCCAAAAGGTTTTCCTGAGGCGCCTCCCTTCCCAGATCCCCAACACCCTGCCCGTCCCCATTAGAGTACTTCCTTCATCCCAAAGCTAGAGCTCCTCTCTCAGTCTCCCTCCACGGGCTTCAAGCTTCCTAAGCGCTTTCTTCTAGCATCTCCCCAGAGCTTCGGAGAGAGTCTGGCAGCCATCAAGTGCTCAGTAAGCATTCCCTGAGAGAAGACAAGTGCCGTTTAGTAAGCCGATTCAATACGCAGGACCTAGTGCTAACCAAACACATATATAGTTTACACCTCACTCAACTGCCTCAAGCAGTGGGTGTTATTCCTTTCTAGCTGAAGAAGTAGCCAAGACATCAGCCAAGGGACATGGGGACTTAAGCATTTATCTGTTATACCCAAAGCTCTTGCTCCCACACTCTAGACTAAATATCCCTCTCCCTGCTTGAGCTAGGGAATCCAGGTGGTTTAGTGTCTGGAGCAGGTGCCTGCCTGCCTCCACAGGATGCCTATTCTTCTGTGGATGCTTCCATGCAGATGAGCATCATCATCCAAACCATGTCCCCAGCCGGGCTTTCACATCTGCAAGTGCTCCTAAGCTAGGTGCCGTCATCTCAGACAAGAAAACCAAATAGGGCAGAGGAGTGCTTGGAGAGACGGCTCAGCATGTAAGAGCTCTTCCAGAGGACCCGAGTTCAGTTCTGGGCACCCATGCCAAGCTGGTCACAGTAGCTTGTGACTCCAGCTCCAAGGGATCTGACAGTCTCTGCCAGGTTCCAGAGATACTTGCATATATGAAACATTATACACACAGATGTATACATAAATAAAAATGGAAAGTGGGAAGTCCTGGGAGGATGGACCCAAGTTTGGTATACACAAAGAAACATTGCCTGAGGCGTTCAACCTGGGAGGTGGCCTTGGGGATGCAGGAATATTCTGCTGGGTGGTAAAGACTGGGATTTTTTTTTTTTTTTTTTTTTTTTAACTAGCTCTGTAGACAGAGATCCTCCTGCCTCTGCCTCCCAAGTCCTGGGATTGGCTAGGACAGGGATTCTTATTCCCACTTCACCAGCTACTCAATGAGCTCTTGAATTAGATGGCCCTATATGCTCAAACCTGCCCTGACTGGGTGCAGACAGGCCATTGGCTCCCTGCCACCAAATGATATTGCTGCTTCCAGGCCACCAAGAGAAGTCTTGGAGTCTTCACAGGGCTTCTTCCTTCTGCTGCTCCAGCCTCCAGTAACAGCCTGACCATTTCCAGGGGCCAGAGACTCATCTCAATGAGAACATGATCTTTGCTGCCACCCTGAGAAGCAGGTGCTACTAGCTTTCCCATTTCACAGATGCAGGAAACTGAGGCCCAGAGAACTGAAAGACTAGCCCCAAGGCCCATCAGCTCACGAAGGCAGGACAGCTTCCCTGGCAGTTCAGCTCCTAATAAGATCACATTGTCCACTCTTGTTAAATATCTTCAGTGGTCCCAGTGACCAAAAGAAGCTCATTCTGATGACTGAGGCACTCACATCCCGACACCAGCACCCGAGCCCCCCTTACCTTTCCAGCCTTGCACCTTGCACCTGGATCTACTCTCATTCCCCACGGGGTGGGTACCACTACCTCAGGCACCTCAGGTCAGCTCGGGTCCATCCTC